TTTTTTTTTTTTTTTTTTTTTGTTTTTATCCCTACTGGATAGGCAAAATGATGGATTTAGGAGAGATGATGACTTTGTAGTAGGTGGCAATTTTACCCTTATCACAAGTGTCGCTAAGGTCTCGTGTAGTTTGTAGATACTTTACCTGTCCCTTAGGGCCACTTCATAGCCTTACTGCTAACTAAAATCCCTCATACTTCATGGATGCTACCTAATTAGTTTCAATTAGGAAGAAAAGGGAAAGCTAATTAGTTGGTGAGGTTGTGTTCTCAGCTTATTTGTGGTTGGTGTTTTGGGACTGCTGTTTAAACACCTTGTCATTTTCCTTAAGATCCTTTCCCAGGGCAGGCCTCTGGTTTAGTAGTGGGCTCATACTCTGTGCTGTCAACTTCTGCGCTCTGGCTTCATGGCAAAATTGCCTTTCCCTGGGGGAGGGAATATGATACATGTATGATACCAGTTGGAATGTCTGGGGAATCACCCTTTGTTTGGAAGCTCTGATTTGTGTTACGCTTTCATGAATAATTTCATAAACACATCAGGAAAGTGACTGTGTGATCTTCTTGTATGGGCCACGTTGTGGAAATGTACCGTGTGGTGGAACTGCATCTTTTAAACTTAGAGCAGTGGCTTGCTAAAATGTTGTTCTAATGCTGCCTTTGTTTTTCTCTGGTAATTCCTAGTTGTAGTGTGTGCTAGACAATTAGATCTCTGTCTCACATATGATATCTTAATTTGAAAATTATTTTGACAAAATTAAGATCACTTGGGAATTGTAGCCTGCCCTTTTCTTTTTGACAGTTCTGTTATTTTAAGAAATTCTGTATGTTATTGATGAGCATATATCACTGCAGATAGGGAATACTGGACTTGACTAGTCCTCTGTTAATGTGACCAATATTCTTAAGATACCAGTTAGTAATCTAGATGTGTTTAACTCATGTCATCTACAAAAGAATTAAAAATAATGCTATGGTAGTTCTGCAATGGTGTATGTTTAAACTGCTGATAAGTCAAATGCACAAGTGTTGGCATTTCTTTAAAAGAAAAAAAACTAGCATTTGTAATCTTATTTTGTTTCTTTAAAATATTTGTCCTGAGCAAAATGGCTGTGGTGTTTGTCTATTAAGCAGCTAAAGTGCTGTGCTGTTTGTTTGGCTTTTAGTCAACATACTTTCCAGGAAAAGGTGAAAGGACACAAATGCCGCAGACAAGTTTCATTTGTAGTTCAGTGAATGTGAAGTATATGTTTTAATCTAAAATGAAGTCTCTTTTTAAAAAAATTAATCGAGGCGTAGTAGAAAGACTCAAACTTCAGCTCCTCAGATATGCAGGGTGCTTGCTTTCAGACTTGGAAAGTGTGGTATTACTCATCAAAACCACAGAACTTGTTCTGTGTTTGGATGCTCTGGGTCCTTTGGTAATTGTAGTAGTTCTGTTACAGTTTGTTAGATGAGCATGTTAATAGTCTCCCCAACTGATTTAGAAGGCCTTGAACAGTGACAGTAGATCCAATACTAAACAACTGCCTGGAGTCTCTCTTTAGGGAGAAGATTATATTGTCCTTCTATATTGGTACAATACCTAGTACCTTAGGAGCCTCTCAAATTCCTTATTAACAGTAGTCATAAAAATGCCAGATATTCTGAAAATTTACATTCTTTTTAGTGGGCAACATGCCTATGGGATCAAAAATGGGAGATAAGGAAAAAGAATCCCTAAAGATCTGTTCAGCTTTTAACTGATAAGACCTTGAATCTGTTACCTGATGAGGGCACTCAGGTGGTGGTAGTGATGGAAGTGGGTCTGATTGCAGGATGTCAGTTGGATCCAAAATATTTCATTCTTGCCATTCAGATGCCAGGCCAAGTTTGAATTCTGAAACAATAATTCAGTTAAAGGATCTCTTACCTTTTTTTTT